TATAGTGTCTCGATGCACGGCGGAGCTGCAGCGCGCCCGCACACACCGCTGCCTCGCCGCATCGTATGTCGCGCGCGCCTCTCCGGTCCGGGGATACGTGCGGCACGAAGATGCGCCGCAGGATCACCGACTGACAGCTCCCTAATGGAACCCGTAAATACCGCGCGGGGCACGTTATGTTTTCCAAATGAAATCCCGAAAATTTACTTCCGAAACTCGCCGGCGCCTCCGACACCGTCGCCGTCATTTATCCTCGGCGAGATATATTTCGTCTCGCTTTGATAACGCCGGATCTCCGTTATCTGTTATTGCATTGTCGTTTCTGTTATTGTGTAGCGCGGCCTGCTCGAAAGCGCGTTGCATCATTATGCGATTGATGAGCCGACGGGCGATAACCCGATCTGAAGCATCGAAAAATCGTCTAAACGGGAGCGGATAATTAGGCGAGCTCCGTATTGATTAATTCAATTTCCAACTCGATGGAACCGTCCACTTTAATTACATGAACGAACAATACGTCGGCGATTAATATTCATATTGCGATATTGTAATATCGCGATACGTAATACCGTAATACGCTAATATCGCGGATGTAATAATAGTCCCGCTTAGCGTTATTTATGCGCGATTAATTACCGCGGCGTAACCAACAAAAGAAAACTGTCCGCGCGTGTCCGTGACGTGGATTCGGCGGGAATTGGAAAATTCCGCAGGGGCAGAGCGAAAAAGGAGGTGTGCGCGCGAGAGAGAAAGAGGAGAAAAAGATTACGCGCGAACGCACAAAAGTGCACCGCGATAAGGGACGCGCACGTGGAGCGTAAAGCGCGCGTTTAGCAATACGCCTACGCACACACGTATTTAGTTACATTATTACCGCACACGTATATTCGACCGATTACCGCGATCGGATGCGGACGCGTGTACGTATGTAATCGATATCGAAGCCAGATAAAAATGATATTATGGCGCTGCGATTATGATACCTGCGGCAGATCAAATCGGTCGCAGTCGAGTCCCGCTCAACGCACACCCCGGCGCAGATATAGGATGCAGATTGCAAATACGATTAAGCGTTATTGCGTTTTCTACTTGCCTCGGAATTACATTCTTTCAAATTTTATTATCCGCCGATATCGATTGGCCGGGGGCCGCTGCGTGGCACTCTTGGCATGCGCACACGCGAGCACGCGAGTTAACACGCACGGGCGACTGACCGAATAAACGACGCACAATTACATCATCACACGCGCCAAAGCGTATGATATTAATTTCCAAAAATTAACACCTCGGAAGAGGTCGAAAAATCAAAGCGACTCGAGGCGAGTCGCGACCGGCCGGCGCGGAAGACTTTAAACACTCGCTCGTCAAACGAATTTCCGAGCGTACTCGTCAATGAGATATCGCACACGAGGTGTGTGTGTGTGTTGTACAAGTACACCGTGCGCGAGCGCGGCTACCGTGAGAATAGCTTTCTCTCATTTCGCCTTTTTGCCCTTCTTCCTCCTTCCCTCTCTCGGGCGGAAAGGCGCAATTAATTTTTCGTTCTTAAAAGAAGGATTTTCAAGTGAGGTCCTTTTCCATCCGTCCCCCCTCTCCATCGTTGTTTCGCGGCCAATGGTACAGGCGATAGGAACGGTTGTAGATTCGCGCCCGTTCGTGCTAGGGCAAAGTGGCTATTTTCCGGCCAGTGCTCACCGATTAAGAATCCGATCCCGGCCAAGGAGCAAGGGATAATCCAAACTCGAGACTCACGAATGAGCTTTTTCCCTGAGTTTAACATTAACCGATACGGAAAAAAAGAAAAGAAAGAATAAAGTAACGCTGACGATAAGCGTTTCGTGACTCTTCTCGCGCGCGCGCGTCTTCCCAATTACCGCTCGTGCGCGATGCGACAGATCATTACGAAAATATCGGAAGTATCCGCGGGGAGATAACGGCGGAATATCGCGTTCTCCTGCGAGTTCCTGGCAAAAAGCACACGGACGAGTTTATGTGGAAACTCTCGTTTTTCGGCACGGTCCTTCCTTATTTACCGGCCAAGTCAACAAGCAAACTCGAATTATTTAGAAAAAAAAAAATCCCGGGATAAAACGACGGAAAGATCGAGGGACGACCGGGTAAAACGGGCGAGCCAGCGAACGGCCGCCGGGGGAAAAGGGGGATGGCGGCCGTGAAGTAAATAGGAGTCGTGGTCGTTCTGCCGTAAAATTGTATGTGAAATTGTGCGATGTGTCTTGCGAATTGAATCGCCGGAAACGACATTGATTTTATTGCTTGTTTCCAGTGCTGTATACTTCATCCTACCCTTTTCTCCATCTTCCAAACCCCTCCGCTACCCTACCCCTTCGCTCAGAACCGCGACACGTTTTCCACTGCCATCCCGGCAATCCTTACTTCCTTCCCCTACCGCGACGGGATACCGACATACATCGTTCGACATGCGTCGTTTCTGCGAAAAAATTGATTTTCCCGGGAACGAATTATATCGGGTTTATATATAATTCGGAGAGAGAGAGAGAGAGAGAAAGACAGATTCGGCTCGCATTGAGAGCGCAGCGACGGGCAGCGCAAATATCGTCACGCGAGCAGCGACAGCGTTTATTTATAACGGTATCGTTAAACGAAAAATATAAAAAAGAGAGAGAGAGGAAAAACGGAGCAAGACCGCTAATTTTTCCGACTGCTGGAAAAACTGCCACTCGCTCGAAAGCGAACATGTATATATGTATGTATATATATATATATATATATATATATATGTATGTGTATGTATATATATATATATATATATGTATGTGTATGTATATATATATATATATATATATGCGCGAGCCATAATTTTCTTTCAATGATTTACCACGGGCTAATTGCAGAATGCAGCGCGCGCGGTAATATCGCTTTGCAGGGTTACGTCCGGGGGAGGTAGCTATACTTTAGTTTGCAATTTAAACTTTACTTCCTCCGGAATTG